GACACTGAGGTGGAGGACTAGATTAAGGTTTTGTAATCTCTGATCAAAACAATTTCATGTAATTAAAGCCACAAGCGTACAGATGTGAATCTAAACCAATGCCTCATATAACTTGAAATTTTTTCTTCTTGGAGATTAAACATTTATGTAACATATAACAACTCTAATTATTGTTAGAATTTACATAGCATCTTTCTTCACTTGAGCCTAAAGTGTTTTATATATGCAATAATTAATTCTTACAATAACCTTATGAAGCAGAGAAGTAGAACGAATTATCATTCCCATTTTGCAGAAGATAAAATCAGGGCAGGGAAACCTGCTGAGATTTGCCCAGATCAGAAAAAGTGAGTGGAAGGTTGTCACTTTTCAATTCTCATTTAGGAACTTATTTATTGAGTTCATGTGCTTTGCTTGTGAAAGATGGTGTGCTTGTGAATAGAGTGGGATGGGTGGGGTGAAAAGGGGGAGATGGTTTGAATAACACAATATAAAGACAAAACAACATTTGGGAGTCTGTAATTCCAACTCAAGCTATAGGCACAGAAGTTCAATTGTGTCACGGGGCACAGTCTAGGAAACTATAAACTCAGCAAATCTGCCTTGTCCCAGAAATGAGAGAGATATTCTTTTTTTTTTTTTTTTTTTTTTTTTTTGCGGTACACGGGCCTCTCACTGTTGTGACCTCTCCCGTTGCGAAGCAACAGGCTCCAGACGCGCAGGCTCAGCAGCCATGGCTCACGGGCCCAGCCTCTCCGCGGCATGTGGGATCTTCCTGGACTGGGGCACGAACCCGTGTCTCCTGCATCAGCAGGCGGACTCCCAACCACTGTGTCACCAGGGAAGCCCAAGAGAGATATTCTTTTACTCCCTTATGAAGGGTATGGATGTTAAAGATAAACAAAGTGTTCAATTTTTACATTCCTGACAGGACGGAAGAGTGAGGGACTCCACCATATAAGGAAATGGGCTGAGATGAAAACTATGATGCACACATGCCCTGACCATGCTTTCCAAAGCAGCAGCCTGTTACCCTCTGTGCTCTTACTCTGCTTAATTACTCTTCATAGCACATACATATTCACTTTTTTTAATTGTCTATCTCCTCCACTAGAATATAAGCTCCGTGAGAGCAGGGCTTTTATTCTTATTCATTGATGTTTTCATGGCCTAGAACAGTACCTGGCATCTAAAAGATATTCAAAAAATTAATGAATTGGGCTTCCCTGGTGGCGCAGGGGTTGAGAGTCCGCCTGCTGATGCAGGGGACACAGGTTCGTGCCCCCGTCCGGGAAGATCCCACATGCCTTGGAGCGGCTGTGCCCGTGAGCCATGGCCGCTGAGCCTGCGCGTCTGGAGCCTGTTGCTCCGCAACGGGAGAGGCCACAACAGTGAGAGGCCCGTGTACCGCAAAAAAAAAAAAAAATTAATGAATTAATTTAATTCAAAATAAATGAAGAATGCCTGAAGGTTATAGTTCTAGCTCTGCCACTAATCAATTTTGTGACCTTGGAAAAGTGTCTTGGAGAAGTCTTTTTAATCTCTTGGGGAATTTGTTAAGAAAAAAAAAGTATTCAACCAGATAATCCCATTCAATGCTTCAATACTGTGATTTTATGTATGTAATGAACCATCATACAAGGCAAAGTGTGATGAGTGGTAAACTAGAGTACAGTGGATAACTGTCACCTTTCCCGGCTGCCCAAGCATCTTTCGAATAGCCTTCTTCTGTTCAGACAATTTACTACCTTTGGAGTACTACCTCTCCAAGAAGGATATTAGAAGTTCACTTGCCCAGCTTTCCTTTTAGCTAGGGACAAGTCATTTGACTTGGGTTCTGCCTATGAGATACACCTTCAAGAGATTTTTTTTAAGGTAAGCAATGTGTGGAAACAGGTACCGTGTAGAGTTCACTTTTTGGTGGGGAGGCTGCAGGAGTTCCTGCTTTCTGGGGCTGCATATCAACCATGGAGTGGAAGAGTGTGGGTTGCGTAGCAACAGCAATGTGGTTTAATGTGGCTCAAGATTTGTGGAGTAGGGAATGAAAAGGAGAAAACAGTGATTCACTGAAGAAAAAGCAAGGCCTTCTGAAGTATCACAGACTTGGTCCACATCCTGCTCTGCCACTTACTGGCTGTGCATTTGAGTAAATTATAACCTCTTTGGCCTCAGTTTCATCATTTTTAAAATGGCCACTGTCTAAATTCACTCACAGCCTCTGAAATCTCTTTTAATGCCACAATTCCCCAGGGATTTCTGCTAGTATGTTTGCCTCTAGATCAAACTGGGTCAAAGTTAGGCTTTAAATGATGGGTAAAATTAGGTCAATTTATAAAGCTGCAAGAAGATAAAACACTGAGACACAACAGTAATAACAGAGACAGCAAAGTCAACTAATAAAAGGCAATCTTTTCCATATGTATCAACAGGCCCAAAGACATTACTATCCAGCAGAATATAATAATTGATGCTATAACAATTATCTTTAGTTGCCAAGCAAAGATTAAATTACGGCCCATTTACTCCAGTTATGGTAGGGAAGTAAGTACTACCTTTTATGTATATTTCTATCAAAAGCGGTTCCGATGAACAAGTTTTGGTGCTTAAAGGCTTCTTAGTGATGCCAGAAAGTGAAATATAATAACTGATAAGATATCAGAATATGAGAAAACATTGTGGGCATAAATCGTTTCATTTCAAAATTGGCTAGAATAACCTAAACTTTTTTCACAGAGACTCTCTGAAGCCTAGGAGCTCCTAAGTGCCCCTTTAGAATTTAAAGAAAAGAAATATACTCTTTTCTATGTAAGTCTTCATTACCCAGAAATAACACCATAATAAAGTCACAAGGAAACCAGCAAGCTGGCCTCAAGAACGCTTTTCACCAAAATCCTCCCTGACTGCTGATACCAAGTAGGCAAGCATTTGCCTGAGTTTTTCAACTGTTACATTGATACCCATATTTATTCCAATTTCCTCTTCAAGTTTACATTTCTTTCTTTTTTTTTTTTTTTTTTTTTTTTGCGGTACACGGGCCTCTCACTGTTGTGGCCTCTCTCGTTGCAGAGCACAGGCTCCGGACACGCAGGCTCAGCGGCCATGGCTCACGGGCCCAGCTGCTCCACGGCATGTGGGATCCTCCCAGACCGGGGCACGAACCCATGTCCCCTGCATCGGCAGGTGGATTCTCAACCACTGCACCACCAGGGAAGCCCCAAAGTTTACATTTCTTATTCCTCCTTCCTAAATATGGGTATTTCCTGAGGCACAGGTCTTGGCCTTCTGTTCTCTATAAATACTTTGTCCTTTGGAAAGATCATATACACTGATGATTTCAACTGTTGTTTCTTCATGGATGACTCACACATTTGTCTTTCATCAGCTTTAGTCCTGTATTTCTAACCACCGCCTAAAATTTTTCTTTTGAATATTTTCCTACTATCTCAAATTCTACAAATCTTTTTTGAGCTCTGAGCTCATTTTTGCTTTAAAACCAACTCATGCTATAGATATCCCTTCTCAGTTGCAATTTTCCAGACTTGAACAGGAGTCTTTCCTGATTCCTCCTGATCCTTTTCTCCCATCATCCACTTGGTTACTATACCACTCAATTACTGTAACGCTGGTCTTTCTGCTCTCACCTTTACTACCCAACACCAAGATTATCATATCTTCCCATCCATACTATCCTATACACTTTAGCTAGGTTAATGTCTCTAAAACGTGGCTTGGAATATTCATAGTTCATCATTCACTCCACAAACGTTTACTGAGTGCTTACTTTATACAAAGTACAATGTTACTCACTCCAGGATGTAGAAATGAATGTAGAATGAATGCAGTCTAGTAGGGGGAAAAGACTTCCACATAAATAATTTAGTTCTAACTTAGAAAGTGGTAATAACTGAATGAATAGATGAAAAACGGCTCAGAAAGCATAATGGACATTCAGTGGAAGGAAAACTTATTTCTAGATGGAAATGTTACTTCATTCAGCTTTAATGGATAGAATTTCAACATCCCGAGACGATGGGGAGGGAAGAGTATTCCAAGCAGAAAGAGACATGAGCCTCTACAGAAAGGTAATGGGTAGTTCATCAATGAGGCGCTTCACATGGTCTGGTTTGATATGGACAAACGGAGAATGAAAGAGGGACAGTAGAAAATAGTTTTGAATCCAAAGTTAAAAAATTTGGCCTTTAATCTACAACAGGGAGCCGATGAAGATTTTCTGTCATCTTAAAGATGAGTAAGCCTACAGCATTGATGTGTAAGATGGGCAGGTAGGAGAGTGACGCTAGAGGAAGGGCATCAATGAGAAAGGTATCACATTCCCACTGTCCAGGGGGTGATAATGACAACTTTGGCTAGGTGGAGGCAGTGGGTACGGAGAGTGGATGGATGCCAGAATTAATGTAGGGTAGAATCGACAGAACTTAGCAACTGACGGGAGCAAGGGAAAGAAAGAAATGGCATCAAATGTAGACATCGATGTTTCCAAGCTGGAAACTCATGAGAGTATTAACCAAAAGGGGTACCCAGTCTGGAAAGCAATTTGGGAGGGAGGAGGCCAAGCTATATTTGGGAATATGCAGCGTTTATAACACCTACTGAACATCCCAGAAGAAATGACCAAGACTCCTGGAGGTAGCTAGATACTGACGACTTAGGCTGGAGCAGAGCGGGGCTGTGTTTTGGCAAAAACACGTACAAAACAGACTACAGAAATCTTACTACCGAAGCTTGCCTGGACAGAAGTGAAAGGTGTAGCGCCACTGAAGGAATCCACTGGAGTCTACTTTCCACCGCCTGCCCTCGCCTCGCACTCCTCACACAGACTCCCGGCGCAGGCGGCCGGAAGTAGCCTTTCCCTCCCCGCTCGGCACAGAAGTTCCAAAACTTCCGTCCCTACCCGTCACCGGCTCCCAGTCAAGGAGGCTCAATATATAGCGACGCGTCTCTTCCTGTACAGCCACCAGGCAGACTGAAAGCGCACGGTGGGCAGCATCACCTTTATCCCGCCAACCCACCACCCTCGTAAGCTCCAGGCGAGCCACCAGCGTTGGAAGAATTGGGAAAAATCCACACGGTTCGCCGAAGATACCGCGAGACTTCACCGCCTCGGCCTTAGCGCGCCGGAAGCGGAAGTCAGGCCGTGGTCGGAGTCTGGCCAAAGTGGATCTGTTACCTTGGAGAGCTGAAGCGGTCCGGAGGTCCTGTGACGGTGTTCTGGCTCGGAGGTAGGTTTCCGTGAGCGTTCGGCCGGCGGAGTCCGGCCCGAGCGGGAGAGATACAGCCCTGGGCGTGGGGTGGGGGGTGTCGCTCATTCGGGGCCGCGGGGAGGAGGGAACCGGGCGGGCAGAGCTGAGTGGCCGGCGAGGTGTCCTCTGGCTCTGCCGTTACGAGACTAGACCCTTTGGCGAGACCGGAAGCCGCTTACTCCTCGCGGCCTCCCGTTTCCCTCGGATCTGGGGCCGAGGTGCTTCAGAAGGAGCGCATCAGTCAAAGCCTTGATAGACAGGCGCTGGTGTGCTGTGAGAGAGGACTGAAAAAAGCCGTGGTTCTCAGTCCGTGTCTTCGTCGGTTAGTTCTCTGGGTTCATCTCCCAGGGCAGCGAAACCCCATTCTGGGTAGTCATTTACAAGGTTAGTGGCCTGCAGCGAAAGTTCTGTGTGGTTTTATTTAGGGTCAAAAAACTAGTAGTCTTCGAGTACATATCTGAAAGGCTGTACCCTGTGTTTTCCAACAGAAAAGAACATATTTTGTGAAGTTGTTATTCATGCTCGAACTAGCTCATTGGTTTTGAGTAGCATCTTTTAGCTCTTCGGTGGCACTTGAAGCTCCAATTCCCTCTTTGGAATTAACGTTGCAAGTCTTTAGAGTACTTTTAATCCTACCACTTCATTAACCTTTATGGTTCCTGTCCCCACGACACACACCTTTTGAGGGTTTCTTTCAAGGGAGTCAAGTTTTGTTTTGTTTTGTTTTGTTTTTCTTCCCATAGATCTAAACAATCTAAACATTAAACGGTACAGCTGCCTCAAATCCCTGGGGTAAGTAAAGCTTGGATCAGTTAAAATTCTATTTAAATTTCATTCTCACCAGTAATTATAAAGATGATACACATTTGTTTGTTTGTGGGAGGGGGATCCTGGAAGAACGTTAGAATAGCACATTTGCCTTGGCTTATGATTTTTACCGCCCCTCTGGTTAGGTATGGGTCATCTTTCTGGTGATTTCTGTGATTCCTATAGAAATCAAGGCACGCCTTTAATTTGCTGAATTTATTTTAAACCATACCCTGGATTTGAGAATTTGACATCTGTTTGCCAATCCCAGACACATTGGTATTTAATAAGACATACTGTAAGAGAGCAGAGGCCTGGAAGGTAAGACATGTAGATACTGTTTCTTGCATCCAAATAATAATCTTTAATTTTGTTGGGACAAGGGTAGTATTATAAATATTTGCATATGTTTTGAGGGATTTGGAGGAAAGAAAAACTAATGAAAAAGCTATCTTCCAGTATCACATCTCTTTGACAAAAACTTTTTATTATAAACTGAAGTAATACAGGAAGAAGAATAATTTTAGGACATCAGATAAGGGAGATTTGGTTTTAAAGTTTTAGCATGATGTCACATATGCCCCAAATCACGGAACAGATTTTAGTGGTCTTGAGGCAAAGAACAGAAAGATGGGGTTTAGGTGAGGAAAGGTAGGGGATGGGGCTACATCAAGGAAGGACTGGAAATTGGGGGCTACCTTCAAAATACTGCTAGGGCTGCCTTCCAGGTCTTGGGTGAAGATGAAAAGAAGTGAACTCCCTCTCCCCTGGTTTCTCAAGGATTGCTGCTGCAGCCTAAATCAAATCTTTTCTCAGAGGTAGAGGGCTCTCTGAAAATTTGGGTGAAGAAATACTGCTTCAAAAGTGAATCCATAATTGCCCTGGAAAACCCAGCTGATACAGATTTCAGTTTTCATAGCCATTAGATAATATTTTATAGTAGTTTTTTTCATATGTCACAGAACCTGGAATAAGAATATATTGAATACCATTATAAAGTAGTTACCCTAGACCTTAGTAGCTGTGTGTTTAAAGGCCTTTTTATTTGCCTTTCTGTTTTCATGTCTTTACTGTATTTACAGTCTTTCTCTTTATTGGCTCTTTTATTTGCCTACAAACAACTTCAGGTGTTGTAGCCTGGGGAAAAAAGAGGTAACCTTCCAGTAACCCCTTAGCTACTGCCCTTTGTGTTTTGTCTCTGTTTCCAGCCAAGCCTCTTGAAAGCTTGGTCTTTAATCAGTGTAGATTTCTACTTCCTTACCTTCCAGTTATTTCTTAATTAATTGTAGTCCTGTTTTAATCTCTGATACTCTAATCATCTCCTCATGGCTAAATCCAATTAATTTTCTCTTCTTGGTTCTTCCTATTACCTTACGATTCAACACTGATGATATATTGATGATGATATATAACAACAATCATGATACATCGTTCATCTTTGTATCCCAGGCTCCTAGTTAGCACAATGCCTGTACTATAGTAATCAAGAAGTACTGAATTGAATCTAGTCTATCTTAGGTTTAAAAGTACACAAGGACTTTTATGAATACCCTGCCTAAAAGTATTTACTTCTTGTTTTTCCACTATCTGGTGAAGATAGTGTTACTTAAAAAAAAAATTCTAATAGAAACATATTAAAAACTGTACAGAATTTCAGAATGACTGACACTTCTGAAGCTATTCCAAATTTTGAAGAGATGTTTGCCAGTAGATTCACAGAAGATGACAAAGAGTACCAGGAATACCTGAAACGCCCTCCTGAGTCCCCTCCAATTGTTGAGGAATGGAATAGCAGAGCTGGTGGGAACCAAAGAAATAGAGGCAATCGGTATGTATTACTTCAGAACAGTAAATGCCGGTGGCTGATCTGGGAGAGGATAGCTTGAATCCGCTAGCCCACAAGGCCAGTGAGGGCAGGAATCAGTGTTTTTGTGCAGTGTGGTATACCGAGTGCCTAGTAACTGCTTGGCACACAGTAAGTGCCTGGTAAATACTTGCTTTTAATATTTTGTCAGCACCATATTTTTTTCCCTTGCTATGCAGTTGTGTGTGAGTGTGTTATAATGGTTTTTTAAAAAATATTCTTTCTCTGGACTAATATTTTATTTTCTCTGCAAATATGCTTTAAAAACCTAGAGTCTTTTACAAAACTTTTGCATTAAATTCCATAAAGAAGATACTGTTTTTGGTTTTACTTTAGAAAGAAGTTTATACAATGTAAATTACTTCTATTTGATACCTCAAAATAGATCAAAGGAATATTACCATACTGCTTTTGAACAATTGAATAGGTTTCAGAACCATCCTATTATTTGGGGTTTGGTGTTGTAGTCTACCTCTTCTCTGCAAAGTATTAAATATATCCAGTATAATACTGGATCTGAATCTTAGGAAAGTTTTGAATAACTAGTTCTATAACATTCTGTAGAGAAAAATGTTTTTTACTCTTTTGTATACTGAGTATTAGATTGAGAAATGAAATGCACCAGGATAGATTTGTCATGTGTTTTGTTTTTTTTAAGGGAAGTATAAAAATCTTTTTGTTTTGTTGTTGTAGGTTGCAAGATAACAGACAGTTTAGAGGTAGGGATAGCAGACGGGGGTGGCCAAGTGACAATCGATCCAATCAGTGGCATGGGCGATCCTGGGGTAACAATTACCCGCAGCACAGACAAGAACCTTACTACCCCCATCAATATGGACACTATGGTTACAACCAACGGCCTCCCTATGGCTACTACTGATAGAAATGTCAGCAGCTTTTAGTAAAACCATTTACTCTGTTAACATGATAAAAGTTTATGTTGTATTTTCTGTTGGTCATAGTTTTACATCTGATTGTAGAGAGTGGATTGATGTTTTGGAACTTGAGACTTTTTTAAAATTAGATCTTACTGGAGAGATATGATGGCTGCTGGAAATATCAATAAATACTCCCCTAAAAAGGTTGTGGATTATATTGCTTGACTTCTACCTCAGATTCTTCTTTATTTCATGACTTAATAGTGCTTTGAATGTTGTGAATTTTTTCCTTGTTTGACTTTCAAGAGTTCTTTGTTTTACACAGAAATAAAAATTTTACATAGAAAATGCTTGCTTTTACTTTGTAAGGTAAGGAAGTATCCCTGTACTCGGATGTGCTCATTCCTAATATTTTACAGAAGTAGTACAATCAACTCCTAAATGCACAACTGTGCTTACTTGTGATATATTGTACATAGTAGTTGAAAGGAAAACAGTTATAGTATATTTTGTTTGGCTTTTGTTATTATGTGACTGTGGTACTTTAATTACTCTATAGGTATGAATCATCTTCACAATCGTTTTGGTCTCTTTTTAGAGGGATATCAAGAATAAACCTGTAAAATCAGGAAGGAATCATTCTCAGTTTCAATATCTTGATCTAGTGGTAGGTGGAATTAAGGCACACAGTAATTTTATACAAACTCTAAGGTTTCTTGCTAACTTAAACATACCAGGTCAGAATTCACACATTATACAAAAGTTTAACCCTGCAATGTTCCCTTCCTTTTCAATCATATGTAAATAATGCTGCATTTTGTATTTACTTTTATGGTATTTAATGTGGGTTGATTTTACAATGTTATGTTCACCTCCAAATGTGCACCTTTGCTGCTTCCCCTTTGTAAATCCAGTGATGCTGTAACTTCCTTTCAGAGTGATCATTGTATTTCACATCATTTTAATGGCCATTATAATGGTTTTACTCAAATAAAATACTTGTAAGTATTCTCTCAAATTTTGGCAGGTAGCCCATTCACTAGAGATGAGCTTTTTGATTTTTTATTACTCTGTTCTCCTATCTGTTGAAAAAGATTTAGTGTAAGAATAATATTAAGAAAGAGTACAAGTTTCGTCATAGGTCAAAGGTATTAAAAGGCAACTTCCTGAATCTGCCTTCTGCTGCCTTCTCTCTTAGCACTCCACTCTAGGCCGTTGAGGTTGACATCTCCAGGTACTACTTCTACATGCTCTGGATCCAACTCTCCCCTCCACCCCCACTTCCTGAAGAGCCATTCTTTCAGGTAACTATTTTATTAGAAAGGATTTGATAAACCAAGTACTCACACTCAGATGTAAATACAATTTTAACAATAAGATAAGGGTTTTCCGTGTACCCTTGTAATTACATCAATAGGCAACAAGCCAATGCTGGTACATTAAGATAGGCCTTGATACTACAGAATATTTAGCCCAGAGAGTTAAGAATGGCTTGACTATACCCCAAGATCTTCTCTGAAAGCAGATGGGTTATTAAAAATATCTGTCAACTGATAAAGCACAGCCACTGACCAGTTGGGACAATAGCTGACCACAACTTTAGAGCAGGATCCTGGAGGCCCTCTGCTGTGCCAGCTGTTGACACTAATTAGATATCTGGATCCAAGGGACAGGGTTGGAGCGAGGGATGCCTCTCAGGAAGCTCAGGAGAAGAGTATTTTCTAACAGTATTTAAATATTTTAACACTGTAACAGTAGGGTACATATGGTCTGAGTATCAACTCTACTTGAAAATATGAGAAGAGTCCTCCTTTTAACATGAGTTATTTCTGCATTCTGCATGAGTAATCTATGTGGTGGTGGTTTTTGTTTTTTTTAAGCAACAGTCATCAGACTGCTCCCTGTGTGCTTAAAACCAGGAAGAAATAAAGGCATGGTTTCTGCTTCATGTGGGAGAGACAGAAAAGCACATCAAACCAACTTAAGGATCATTTAAAAGTGGAGAAGAAAGAATTAGAACTGTCAAATGGAATTAATCTCAAATAGGTAGTCTGTTGTAATAGCATATAGATTGAGCATAAGGAATCCTGGCTCCAAGATATCTCACCTTGAGAAAATCACTTAAACTTTGAGCTTATTTGCTCACCTGCAAAAATGGGGACAACACCTTCCCTTGTCACTCTCACAGGGTTATCATAAAAATAAGTGACCAGACATATGAGAGCTTGAGAATAGAAACTAAAGCTCGTGACCATTAAAACCCCAGTGGTACATAATTGGTGCTGCATAAACATTTGTTTAATCAATGGCAGGGAAGGATTTGATAAATCGTAAAGCATAGTGTTGATATAAAGTATGTAGAATAACTGATAGAAAATGAGGTAGGCAGCTTGAGAATTAAAGATTTGCGATTGTTTCCTTATGTGAATTACTATATGAATTAACAAAAGAATAAGACATTATATCCTTCAGAAAATAACAAACACTTCAAATATGGAAGAAAGAGGGGAATTCCCTGGCGTTCCAAGTGATTAGGACTCGGCACTTTCACTGCTATGGCCTGCGTTCAACCCCTGACTGGGAGGCTAAGATCCTGTGGTGTGGCCAAAAAAAGAAAGAAAAAAACAAATATGGAAGAAAGAAAGTTTATATAAAAGTTGAGCCAAAATTACTGGCATTTGCTCTTTGGAAATTGGCACTGACTTGAGAATGTTGAATGTTCATTATGGAACACATCAAATTAATACCCATTTGAGACAGATGCTAGAGACTTAGATAGAGAACTGTTGTTTTTTTTTTCCTTGAGTGCTAGAAGGATTTGAGGTTATCCAGAGTGTAGTAACCTTGTGTCACTGCTCTAAGAATAGTTTTTAGGTTCTTGAAACCATATAGGAAAAAGACAGCCAGTAAGATCTCCAGCATGGTTTTGGTTTCCAAAGCTGCATTCCTTATAACATAATGCTCAACAGACAAGGATGTAATTTTCCCTTTGTATTTTATTCTCCTAAAGGAAAATATAGAACATTATGACAGTATTAAGGGTAATGAAATGTCAGTTTTAAGTTCAGAATACCAAAAAGGAAAGAAATGATCTCATACCCTGAAGATTACTGATATCACTGATTTTGAACTCTAATGAAGGCACTACACTTTCAGTTTTTTTAATTTTTTTATACAGCAGGTTCTCATTAGTTATCTATTTTATACATATTAGTGTATATATTGTCGATCCCAATCTCCCCAATTCATTCCTCCCCCCACCCCCGCCCTGCTTTCCCCCCTTGGTGTCCATACGTTTGTTCTCTACATCCGTGTCTCTATTTCTGCCTTGCAAACCGGTTCATCTGTACCATTTTTCTAGATTCCTGTTTCACAGTTTTTTAACACCTTAAAAATTTTCCTAGACTTTGTATTCTGTTTGATTCACTCAACCTAAACAGATTTGGCTGTGTATGGAAATCTATGCTCTGGGCCTTTGACTTCTTTTAATTAGCACTATTTTTTATAGTGAAAAGGAATTTTTATTCTTTTTTTTTAAAGGCTATAATTCTTTTTTAAATTTATTTATTTTTTTGGCTGCGTTGGGTCTTTGTTGCTGCGCACGGGCTTTCCCTGGTTGTGGTGAGTGGAGGCTACTCTTCCTTGTGGTGTGCGGGCTTCTCGTTGCAGTGGCTTATCTTGTTGCAGAGCACGGACTCTAGGCGCGCGGGCTTCAGTAGTTGTGGTGTGCAGGCTCAGTATTTGTGGCTTGCAGTTTCTAGAGCGCAGGCTCTGTAGTTGTGGCGCACAGGCTTAGTTGCTCTGCGGCACGTGGGATCTTCCCGGACCAGGGCTCGAACCCGTGTCCCCTGCACTGGCAGGCGGATTCCTAACCACTGCGCCACCAGGGAAGCCTGGGAATTTTTATTCTTGTTAAGAAATGTAGGAAATAAATATTCCCAGCTTGAGGTGGCTTGTTGGATAACTTCAGTTAGCTGGAAATGTTACTTGTGAAAGCGTGTACTCTGGTAATGTTAGACAAATTGAGGTATTATATATAAACTATTCACTGAAAAGCTTGTTTGGGCTTTGTCTTTCAATGTCTTGTGTTTTAACCAAAGAAGCATATTTGATATATATATATAAATGGGAACTTTGAAATACATTAGGCTTTGGCTAATTCTGTGTGAAAAACCTAATTATATAGGTCACTCAGAGAATGTTTCCTCTATTTATAAGCTTAGGTAAGCTTTTAAAATTCTCCAGTTTTTAATTTAGAATGAATTAAGACCAACAGCAGTACATATTCTTGACATATGTAGAAATTAATGATGTTACTTTTTAGATTAATACTTAAGAATTCAGATATATTCAGATGTGGCATTCTATTCTATCTAAATGGATATTTTCCTGGGTCCTGCTACATCAGATTATTTTGGAGCCAAATCAACAACTAGATTCAAGTAGTAGATTATACTATTGGACTCTAAGGTAGCCTTGAGAGCAAATATTTCCTCCTTTCTAGAGGTCTGACTGACCTCTACTGGGACTAGCTTTTGGGAGAAATAGGGATGGGAGCAGAGATCCCATGACCTGTGGAGATGCGGGGAGAGAGGGCCAGGCCGGCTCCATGGGTCTCAGTCAGTAGGGCTGCTGTATTAGGATATGCCAGGGCTTAAGAGGAAGTGACTGAAGCTGGTGTGACACAGCTGAGGCCCGCATGTGCCAGAGATACGTTTGTATCTGAGTAGCTTGTTATCAGTGCTGTCAGACTGGAAAACGGGATGAGCTGTGGATAATACCCCTCGGATTTTAAGATTTACAGGATGGTATGGGAGGAGGTTAACGAGGACAAGTCATCCTCATCAAAATTGCTAATATGTGATTTGACTGCCCCCTTGAAGGATTAAGTGAAAGCATTTGCATAAAGTACACATCACTGGGCTGGGCACATACTCAGTGCCCATTCAGTGTCAGGTTTGTGCCTCCCCAGGTAGAGTGGGGTACATCTGGGCTGACTTGGGTGCAAAAAGTGCAGCTCAGATCTTTCACCAGTCTCCATGTGCTGATGGGCTAATTCAGTTGTTTTCATTCCTGTCCCTAAGGGATACAGAGAGCCCCAAGTATTAATTACCGGTTAGATTTTCTCCGGGTTTCAGTGACTTCTCCTGAGACAGCTTCAGGGGACGATGTGATGATGATCTCATGGTTTTTTTCCACGGCCAGTGCCTTCAACTCCCTAAAGGATCACCAGCCTCTTTGTCTGAATCAGGTAAATAAAGCTGCTATAATTGCTAAAGGCCAGAGCTTTCGTGTGTGTGTGTGTGTGTGTGTGTGTGTGTGTGTGTGTGTGTGTGTG